GGATTTAAAGATCGAACTGCAAAGACTCTGGCACAAAGTCAAGGTGGTCCCAGTGGTGATCGGCACACTGGGTGCAATGCCTAAAGACCTTGGCCTGCACTTAAACACAATCGGCACTGACAAAATTACCATCTGCCAGCTGCAGAAGGCCACCTTACTGGGATCTGCACGCATTGTTCGCCAATACATCACACAGTCCTAGACACTTGGGAAGTGTCCGAGTGATCCAATACAACAACCAGCATAGTGATCTTGTTTGCTGTGTACTAATCTTGCTGTGTTTCTAATAATAATAATAATAATAATAATAATAATAATAATAATAATAATAATAGAAGAAGAAGAAGAAAATTCAAAACCTTGACAGAAAGAGCTTCCAGGCTCAAGGTAACAACATAAAAAGTTTTCTGGGGTAAAGGGCATGGGTAGACATGCTAGTCTGTTGCAGGAAACACTATAAAGCAGGCATGGGCAAACTTCAGCTCTCCACATGTTTTGGACTCCAACTCCCACAATTCCTGACAACCTACCGGCTGTTAGGAATTGTGGGAGTTGGAGTCCAAAACATGTGGAGAGCTGAAGTTTGCCCATGCCTGATATAAAGAATTTGTTGTCCTAAGACTGACAAATATTATCCAGGGACTGCAGCACACCTGAAAATTATTTATTTGTTTATTTATTTAAAACATTTATATTCTGCCCTTCTCACCCCGAAGGGGAGTCAGGGCAGAACAAAACATATATCCGGCAAATGTCGGAAGATAAAATAAACTATAAATATAGATAAACACTATATACTTTTAAAATCAATTGTTTAAGCCATCTCAAATCCACAGTTTATAAAATACCTACGGTTACCCTATTGCACTGTCCCAAAGGCTTGATTCCACTACCAACGTTTTACCATCTTTCTGAAGGACAGGAGGGAGGGGGTTGACTGATCTAATCATGCCACACAGGGAGTTTCATAGTCGAGGGGCAATCACTGAGAAGGCCCCGCCAATCGTGCCTGAGAAGGTGGCAGGACCAAGAGCATGGCCTCCATGAAAGATCTTCGTTTCTGAAATGGTTCATAGAGGGAGATGTGTTCGGACAGGTAAATTGGACCAGGACCATTTAGGGCTTTACAGGCCAAAGCCAGCACTTTGAATTGTGCCCGGTAGCAAACTGGCAACCAGTGGAGCTGACACAACATGGGAGTTGTGTGCTTCCTGTATGTTGCTCCAGTTATTAAATGTAGGGTATTTATAGTTAAAGTATAACATGAATGCAAAAACCATACATATTAATATTAACCTTAACAAACAACAAATAGGAGGTTAAAATATTGCTGATAAAAAATCTAGTCTCATCTACATGCAAAAGACACTCTAAAATTATTTCTGCAGAAAAAGTGCAAAATGCATCATTTAGAACACATACACACATCAAATGTACAGCTTAAGGTTTGAGGTTGTCCAATATAGATGAAAACAACATCAGGTAAATAGTTTGACACCTGCTAAACGTGAGTCACTAGTGTGATGTGGCTGCAAAAATGCCAATATGATTTCAGACTCAATAAAACACACTTTCTAAGTCAAAGGTTCTACTGCATTCTAAACTATTCTGACACCGTCTGTAGCACAACTGTAGTTCTTCAGACCAGGCTTGAAATGCATTTAAAGAAGACAAACTGAAATGGACTTAAAGAAGCAAAGTGGTCAGCAATCTGGAAAACAAGCCTTATAAAAGAATTTGAACTAGTAAGGAGAGGGCCAAAAATCTCTCTCACCCAGAAGCTAACACTACATTATCATTAGTTTCGGTTAAACTTTACAATGTCTGAATGGTGAGAGCAGTTTGACAAAGGAGCTCATTACAGGTTCAATATCCAAAAGTGGATTTTTTTCAGATTTTGGAATACTTGTATATACACAATGAGATATCTCAGAGATGTGATTTCAGTCTCAACGTGAAATGCATTTATGTTTTATGCACACCTGATGCACAGAGGCTGAAGGTAATTTGGCAAACACTATTTTAAGCACTTTATATATACTGGACCATCAAAAGGCAAATATGTCACCATCTCAGCCACTCATATGGACAATTTTGGGTTCTGGACAATTTGGGAATTTACAATGGTTAGCGTGTACCAGGTGAGGCAAGACCAACACCAGAGGTCTTCATGCAGAAACTGAACTTTCCACCTCTTGATTTCCTGCACCAGGCAGGTGGTTGGATGAGATTAAAGGTAAAGGTTTCCCCTGACATTTAGTCGTGTCCTACTCTGGGGGTTGGTTCTCATCTCCATATCTAAGCCGAAGAGCCAGTATTCTCCGTAGATACTTCCAAGGTTATGTGGCCAGTATGACTGCATGGAGTGCCATTACCTTCCTGCAGAAGCAGTACCTATTGATCTACTCACATTTGCATGTTTTCGAACTGCTAGGCTGGCAGAAGCTGGGCCTAACAGTGGGAGCTCACCCCACTCTTTGGATTCAAAATGCCAACCTTTGGTTAGCAACTTCAGCAGCTCAGCGGTTTAACCTGCGGCGCCACCAAGGGCCCTCGGATGAAATTAAGGATACACAAATATGCAGAGGTTTTTTTTACTACAATTGCCACAGTCCCTCACAAATGGCTATACTTGTTGGCACTGATGGGAGCTATGGGTCATCTGGAGGGACACAACTGTCCACCCATGGACTATGAGACCCAGAGGGTCAGCTCCAACTTCAGGACTCTATTGCTCAAAGTCAGCAAGCCATCAACAGCTGGTCTACTCCAAGTTTGCCATATTATTACTGTCTACCCAACAATAATAATATGGACAAGTATGTTGTCAGTTGTGACATGCTGGGTGGAGAAATGTTAGCCTCCATACTAGATAACATGAACAGCTGTTCTGTAAATGAAAAGTGGGAATAATATAGTCTACCACATATGGAACTGCAGCTCCCAGCATTCCTCACAACTGGTTACGCCAGATAGGGCTGCTGGAACTGCTGGAACTTATAGTTCATCAACATCTGGAGAGTCACGTGAGCCCCAGTCCTGTTCCAAGCCATGACTTCCTTATTCAGCCTGAAACACTGTACTAGTGCACTGGCTGTATACACTGCCTGTTATAATAGTCAGCAATTTAGAAAAATCAATTATCAGGAGTCCCGCCGGGTCATACTATAAAAAGAAAAGCACGCATTTTATAAAGAAGATGGGATTTTTGTGTGTGAGAGAGTTTTCTTTTTTTTTAAGAGTTGAGAAACAAGGGATGCAATTACTGGTCGCTAACAGGCTAGAGTCAGCTTTAACGCAGAGATGAAAACTGTTGAGGGCATTTTGTTTTATAAGACTGTGTTAACCCACAGTTACAAAGAAACAATTAAAATTGTTTACATTGGAAAACTAAGGAAGTACAGGCCTCTTTCTAAAAATAAAAATACCAGCCCTGCTTTCACCGTGTATATAAAGGCACTTTAAAAAAATTCTCTGCCTTACAGGAACACTTGAATTCCTTTGTCTGCTCCGTTTCTCCCTGTACTATTTTAAATTAAGCTTAAAGAAAATTGGAACGGGAACAGAAACTCATATGGCTACTAAGAACAGGGTGGCTTCTCTTCCCAGCCATGGAAATGAAACATTTCAACACCCTTAATAAAAAAAAAGACATAAAGCTGGAGTAATTTTAATTATTTCTTCTCTTTCCTTATCCATAACATCACATTCCCAGGGAGGAGGACAGAATCAAGAAGAACACTTCCCTTGAAAGGCCTCTGCCTCTCTTTCTCTCTCCATCTCTTTCTGGCTCAACAAAATCTATTCTTTCTTTGCTTCTCTCCCAACCTACAAAGCCGTCCCTCCCCCTTGGAAAGACTTCAGTTCGCTTCAACTGATTTGCTCTCCTTTCTTTTCCCTTTTTTTGTTCTAAATCATTAAAAACTGGAGAAGTGGGAGATTCCTCATGCTCTCCAATAACTCTTATTATTTTTGAAACAAAACAAAACCCAATACTATAAACCACTCCTGTGTTTTTGAAAGTAATTGGATTTAGGTCAATTGCATGTAAAATCATTATGTTGGAAGGGGAGGAGCCGAGAGGAGCAGACTGGCACCGATTTTCATAAAAGAGGGCCCGTGACTCCTCCCTCTTTCCCTCCACCTCTGCCAGTGTGAATAGGAAAAAAGTAGCCACACCTGAAAACCAGGAGGAAAAGAAGGGAGATAAAAAATAGGTAAAGCCTACGGTTTTATCTGAACTCCTTTCATCTCAGCTTTCCAAAAACATGAGGAAGGAAAAGGAAAGGATGGCATTCTGAATGAATCTCAAAGAAGTAAAACATTTTAAAAACCTTGCATGGCTGCCCCTCCCCAACATTTCCTCAAGACTTGTGGCACATTTCCCTCCCCAACACAAAACCTCTCCTCATTTCTCCCCCTCACCCAAAACACATGTGTTGCCCTTCTTTATTTGGACACTAGGGTGAATATTCACACATTACACAGGCAGCAGAGTCAGGGTCGAGGGAGAGGTTTCTTGATAACAGGCCTCCAAGTCTAACAAAAGAAAGGAAGGAAGCTCTTCTGAGAGAACTGAAAGCTCACAAAAAGGAGGAAACTGATCAAGGACTCAATGGGAGGGGGCTTCCCAGTCAAACCTTGCAATGGAGCTGGATGGGAAGGAGGGAAGGAGAATGGGAAGGAGGGTAAAGCCCAACTGGATTCTATTAATGCACTTTGACACGACTTTTGTAACTCAATGCTATGGAATTATGGGAGTTGTAGTTTTACAAGGTTTTCACCTTCACTGTTAAAAGAGTGCTGAAGCTTCATCAAACTGCAACTCCCAGGATTCTATAGCATTGAGCCATGGCAGTTCAAATGCGGTACAATAATTTTAAAGAACACACAGTTGAGTCCTTTGGATCATTCAACATACAAAAAAAACAAGGTCTGTTTTAAAAATATTGTATATACGCATATTTCGTATACACAAAACTACAAAATCAAGGACTCACCAGGATCGAAGTCAGGGACAACGGCTTGGTACTGGGGTCCCACTCGCATACCTCCTCCTCCTAGTTTCAAAGAATAATAAAAGTCAAGTTAACCTTGTTAGGTCATCCCAAGAACTTGAGGAAGGTACATACTGAAAGGACTGAATAGGTAGGAGAGAAAGACCCATTGAACTCTATTGGGAGTGGACCTCCCAGCCAACTCTTGAAATGGACCTGGGAGGGAAGGAAAGAAGGAAGGGGGGAAAGCCACATCAAACTCTATGGAGATTGGGCTTCCAAGTCAAATCTTGGAATGGACCTGGGTGGGAGGGAAGAAAACTCCCACTGAGTTCTTTAACATAATAACAAAAGAGGCAGGTTTCCATAATACATAACATTAAGACAACTACATCTAACCAAACTAAATCTAATGACACTTTATCTGCTTTGGAGGATGATGGTGTCTCCTTTTCTGGAAGTTTTTTAATTGAGGTGGGATGGCCATCTGTTGAGTGTGCTTTGAATAAGTATTTCCTGCCTTGCAAGATGGGGGTGGACAAGAGAGCCTTTGGGGTCTCTATGATTCCAATAATAATAATAATAATAGAAGGTTGTGTATTCCTGCTTGGCAGGATAGGGTTGAGAAGCCATAGATAGCCTTTGGTATCTCTTCCAGCTCAATAATGATGGTGAGAATAATAAGAATAAGAATAATAGAAGATTGTGTATTCCTGCCTGGCAGGATGTGGTTGGACTAGATGGCCCTTGGGGGTCTCTTCCAACTCTGATCCTAACAACAACAACAACAACAACAACAACAGTGGATTGTGTGTTCCTGCCTGACAGGATGGGGTTGGACTAGATGGCTCTTGGGGTCTCTTCCAACTCTCTGTTAATGAGGAGGATGAAGATTAGAATAATAAAAAATTGTGTATTCCTGCCTGGCAGGATGGGGTTGGACTAGATGACCCTTGAGGATCTCTTCCAACTCTTATCCTAATAATAATAATAATAATAATAATAATAATAATAATAATAGATTGTGTATTTCTGTCTAGCAAAATGGGGTTAGACCAGATGACCTTTGGTGTCTCTTCCAACTCGATGATGATGATGTGAATAATAATATAAATAGTTTTTTCCTGCCTGGTTGGATGGGGTTGGATTAGATGGCCTTTGGGTCTCTCTAGGATAATGGTGGTGGTGGGAATAATAATAATAATAATAATAATAATAATAATAATAATAATAATAATAATTTTTCCTTCCTGACAGGATGGGGCTAGACAAGACAGCCCTTGGTGTCTCTTCCAACTCTATGATGATGATGATGGGAGTAATAATAATAATAATACTTTGTTCCTGTCTTTCTGGATGGAGTTGGACTTGATGGCCCTTGGGGGTCTCTTCCAACTTTATGATCATGGTAATAATAAATAATATAGATTGTGGGTTCCTACATAATTGATGATGATGGTAATAATAGCAATACATATTTTGTTCCTGCCTGGCTAAATGGGATTGGACTAGATGGCCCTTGGTGTCTCTTCCAACTCAATGATGATGATAATGATGGGAATAATAATTTGTTCCTGCCTGGAAGGGGTTAGACTAGATGGCCCCTGGTGGTCTCTTCCAATTTTGATCATCATCATCATCATCATCATCATCATCATCATCATCATAGATTGTGTATTCCTTCCTGGCAGAATGGAGTGAGACTAGATGACAACTTTATGATGATGATGATGATGATGGGAATAATAATAGTTTGCTCCTGCATGGCTAGATGGGTTGGACTAGATGGCCCTTGGTAGTCTGTTCCATTCTGATGATGATTATGATAATAGATTGTGTATTTCTTCCTGGAAGAGTGGGGTGTGTCTAGATGACCTTGGTGTCTCTTCCAACTCTGATGATGATGATGATGATGGGAATAATAATAATAATAATAATAATAATAATAATAGTTTGTTCCTGCATGGCTAGATGGGGTTAGATGGCCCTTGGTGGTCTCTTCCAATTCTGAGAATAATAATAGATTGTGTATTCCTTCCTGGCCGAATGGGCTGAGACTAGATGACCCTTGGTGTCTCTTCCAACTCTATGGCTAGATGGGRTTAGACTAAATGGCCCTTGGTAGTCTCTTCCAACTCTATGATGATTATGACAATGATGATAATGATGGGGATAATAATAATAGTTTGTTCYTGCATGGCTAGATGGGGTTATACTAGATGGCCCTTGGTGGTCTCTTCCAATTCTGATGATAGTAATAGATTGTGTATTCCTTCCTGGCAGAATGGGGTGAGACTAGATGGCCCTTGGTGTCTCTTCYAACTCTATGATGATAATAACAATGATGATAATGATGGTGATAATAATAATAATAATAATAATAATAATAATAATAATAGTTTGTTCTTGTATAGCTAGATGGGGTTATACTAGATGGCCCTTGGTGGTCTCTTCCAATTCTGGTGATRATAATAATAGATTGTGTATTCCTTCCTGGCAGAATGGGRTGAGRCTAGATGGCCCTTGGTGTCTCTTCCAACTCTATGATGATGGGAATAATAATAATAACAACAGTTTGTTCCTGCCTGGATGGATGGGGCTGGACTAGATGGCCCTTGGTGGTCTCTTCCAATTCTATGATCACCATAATAACAAATAATATAGATTGTGGGTTCCTACATAAYAGGGGGTTGAACTGGATGTCCCTTGGAGTCCCTTCCCTCTCTATAATTCTAAAACTAACACTAACCTAAGACATGCCTACATGATGAAACACCTAGGAGACACAAAACAACAGAAAGTACTCTAGGAAGCTCAGGCTCATTGTCTGTTGGTTGTATGCACCCCTGAGGATCCTGCTCACTATACTCTGGACAACATTCCTTGAATCCATCCATGCATCCAAGAGTTGGGATGTGCTGAGAAAGGGAGATGGGCCTGTCTCCTTTTCTCCCCCCCCCCCCCACCTTTTGGGGAGTGGGCCTTTGCCAAGAGCAGAGGCTCACCTTGTTCCTCGTCGCTGGAGGAGCCCGAGCTGCCTTCTTCCCAGGAGTTGTTGCTGCTGCTGTTCCCATTGGGAGCCACTGCCGTCGCCGCCGCTCCTCCAATCGGGACCAAACTTTTATTATTCCCACTATTGTTGTTGCTGCTGCTGCTGCTGGAGGTGGTGGCGGTGGGGTTGGGGGTGGAGGAAGCAGCAGAAGCAGCAGCAGAAGAAGCAGCCGAGGAGGAATTGGCATTGCTGCCCGCCTGGTTATTCCGACCCCTTCTTTTGCCCGAAACCTCGGGGCCTTTCTCGATCATGGCTGGCATGGGAAAAGGGAGAGGATCCAGGAGCCAAAGTCCGACAAAAATACAAAATAAGAGGGGAACAAAGTGGGGAAAGAATAGAAGAAACTCCTATTTCCCTCTTCCTCTTCTTTAAGGGAAGAGGAAGGAAGCAGGGAGGAAAAAGTGGGGAAAGAATAGATGAATATCCTTTTTATTTCCCCCTTCTTCTTCTTTAAGGGAAGAGGAAGAAAGCAAGGAGGAAAAAAGTGGGGAAAGAATAGAATAAACTCCTTTATTTCCCCTTTCTTCTTTAAGGGAAGTTGAAGGAAGCAAGGAGGAAAAAGTGGGGAAAGAATAGAAGAAACTCCTTTCTATTTCCCTTTCCTTCTTCTTTAAGGGAAGAGGAAGGAAGCAAGGAGGAAAAAGTGGGGAAAGAATAGAATAAACTGCCTTATTTCCCCCTTTCTTCTTTAAGGGAAGAGGAAGGAAGCAGGGAGGAAAAAATGGGGAAAGAATAGAATAAACTGCGTTATTTCCCCTTCCTTCTTCTTTAAGGGAAGAGGAAGGAAGCAAGGAGAAAAAAAGTGGGGAAAGAATAGAAGAATATCCTTTCTATTTTCCCCTCCTTCTTTAAGGGAAGGAAACAGAAAGGAAAAAAGTGGGGAAAGAATAGCAGAATCTCCTTTCTATTTCCCCCTCCTGCTTCTTTAAGGGAAGGAAACAGGAAGGGAAAAAGTGGGGAAAGAATAGCAGAATCTCCTTTTGACTTCCTCCTCCTTTTTCTTTAAGGGAAGAGGAAGGAAGCTGGGAGGGAAAAATGGGGAAAGAATAGAAGAAACTCCTTTATTTCCCCTTTTTCCTTTAAGAGAAGAGGAAGGAAGCAGGGAGGAAAAAAGTGGGGAAAGAATAGCAGAATTTCCTTTTTATTTCCCCTTCCTTCTTCTTTAAGGGAAGGGGAAGGAAGCAGGGAGGAAAAAAGTGGGGAAAGAATAGCAGAATCTCCTTTCTATTTCCCCCTCCTTTTTCTTTCAGGGAAGAGGAAGGAAGCAAGGAGGAAAAAAGTGGGGAAAGAATAGCAAAATCTCCTGGTCTTGATTTCCTCTGAGGAGGATGAAGGGGAAAAGCCGCCACTGGAAAGTTAGCTGGAAACTGTATCCTTGTCTCGCTTTGTTGCAGGTTTCAAAGGATTCTTCTCTTCCGTTTCCTCTTCTCCTCGGTTTTCCTTCCCTATCCTTTCTTCTCCTGTCCTTTCAGTTGCAGCCTCTTCCAACTTTGACGCTCATCTTCTTTTTCCCCTCTTTTTCCTTCTTCTTCTTCTTCTTCTTCTCTTCCCCGCAAAACTGAGGGGGACTCGGTCCACTCACTGTCAACCCGGACTGCTGGCCTCCCCACCAGCCCTGCCCCTCTCCCCCTCCCATTGGCCGCCCCCACATTTTGGGAAGCCGTCCCTGGCGCTCATTGGCCGGGGCCAGCTGTCCGTCAAAGCCGGCCCGGCGCTTCCGTTCGTGGAGAGGGTTTGGTGGAGAGGCGTCTCGCCTTCCTTCTACGTGGGTTGGGGCTTGGCGAGCATGACGCCCAATGAGACAGCGCGCTGGGAAGCCGAGCTCGCCTTGTGACAGAAGAAAGAAAGAAAGAGACACAATCAATAGAGAATTCAACACTTTGGCAAGCTCAGCTCCATCCCAAGAAGGACCCAGAGTCCTGTCTCATTGCAACAACACAACCAGAAGTGCCATTAATTAAATAGGCACACAAATATCATAATAATACTATGAGTATTCCCTTTCTCTCACATTGAGGTCTGAAACTCACTCCAGAGAGAAAGAGAGGAGAGATGCCTACGCGGGCGCGCGCCTGTGTGGAGGGAAAGGACTATTTTTCTCCTTGGCGGAAGGTTACCACACTTTGGGTTTGTTATTTTATTGAATGGCAGCAGCCTCCATACAAAAGAAACTCTCATTTAGAGACTAATATCAAGGACTTTCCTTGGCTTCCAGGATGTGAAACTCGGGGGTTTCCACACTGGGAAAGGGGTTTGTTTTGTTTTAGGGGATGGAAAGAAGAAAAGAAGCCACCTTCTGAGGCAAAAAAAAAAAAAAGGAAGCTCTGCTTGCTTTGTATTGTCGAAGGCTTTCATGGCAAGGAATTACTGGGTTGCTGTGCAAACTACAACTCACAGGATCCCCCAGCATTGATCCACTCTAGGAGTTGTAGGAATAATGCAAATTACAACTCCCAGGATCCACTAGCATTGATTTATTTATGGAGTTTCACAAGTTCCTTAGCCTCCTCGAGGAAGAGTGCAAACTACAACTCCCAGGATCACTCCCAGGATCCCCTAGTGCGACTTCACTAGCATTGATCCATTCTCGGAGTTGTAGTTTCACAAGGTCGTTCTTTAGCCTCCTCTAGGAAGAGTGCGAACTACAACTCCCAGGATTCCCAAGCATTGTTCCATTCTGAGAGTTGTAGTTTCACAGGGTCGTTCTTTAGCCTCCTCTAGGAAGAGTGCAAACTACCAACTCCCAGGATCCCCTAGCATTGATCCACTCTAGGAGTTAAGGTGTCACAAGGTCTTTAGCCTCCTCTAGGAACAATGCAAACTACAACTCCCAGGATCCACTAGCATTGATTTATTCTTGGAGTTGTATTTTCACAAGGTCTTTAGCCTCCTTTAGAAAGAGTGCAAACTACAACTCCCAGGATCCCCTAGCATCAATCCACTCTCGGAGTTGTAGTTTCCACAAGGTCTTTAGCCTCCTCGAGAATGAGTGCAAACTACCAACTCCCAGGATCCCCTAGCATTGATCCACTCTAGGAGTTAAGGTGTCACAAGGTCTTTAGCCTCCCCTAGGAAAAGTGCAAACTACAACTCCCACAATCCACTAGCATTGATTTATTTTTGGAGTTGTAGTTTCACAAGGTCTTTAGCCTCCTCTAGGAAGAGTACAAACTACAACTCCCAGTATCCCCTAGCACTCATGTATTCTTGGAGTTGTAGTGTCTCAAGGTCTTTAGCCTCCTCTAGGAAGAGTGCAAACTACAACTCCCACGATCCCCTTGCATTGATATATTCTTGGAGTTGTAGTGTCACAAGGTCTTTAGCCTCCTCTAGGAAGAGTGCAAACTACAACTCCCACGATCCCCTAGCATTGATGTATTCTTGGAGTTGTAGTTTCACAAGGTCTTTAGCCTCCTCTAGGAAGAGTGCAAACTACAACTCCCACGATCCCCTAGCATTGTTCCATTCTGGGAGTTGTAGTGTTACAAGGTCTTTAGCCTCCTCTAGGAAGAGGGCAAACTACAACTCCCAGGATCCACTAGCATTGATTTACTTTTGGAGTTGTAGTTTCACAAGTTCCTTAGCCTCCTCTAGGAAGGGTGCAAACGACAACTCCCAGGATCTCCTAGCGTTAATACACAAGGTCGTTCTTTAGCCTCCTCTAGGAAGAGTGCAAACTACAACTCCCAGGCTCCCCTAGAATTGATCCATAGCAATTAAAAGTGGGGTTTGTTGCATAACCTCTATATTGTAGATACACCTATATTCCAAGACTCAACAAACTATAACTCCCACAATTCAATGGCAATTTTAAAATGGTGTCAAGTTCTCCAAGCTATATACGGTCACGTTCCAAAAGCATTCTCTCCTGACGTTTCGCCTGCATCTATGGCAGGCATCCTCAGAGGTGGTGAGGTCTTCTGGAACATGGCCACACAGCCCGAAAAACTTACAGCAACCCTCTGGTTGCTGCTGCTGAGGAAAGAGTGGAGGAAGGGGGAAGAGAGAAAGGAAGGCTAGAATGAAGGAAGGAGGGAGGGAGGGAGAGACTGAACCGCGTGGAGTTTCCGAAGGCAACCGGTTCTGCCTCGTGGCGCAGAGTTGGAAAGGGAAGGAAGGAGAAAGCCTGCCAAGCTTCCCACTGCTTCACATCAATGGGAGTAACTTTCCTCGCGTGTTTTCCACAGGCGAGGAACTCTGAAGACATTTTAGAAAATGCAGCTGCTATTACTATGGAAAGAAGATAGTTTGTGACACCATTTTAAAATTGCCATGCCTCCGTGGAATTGTGGGAGTTATAGTTTGTTGAGTCACCATGAGTCTTGGAATATGGGTGCATCGACAATGTAGACGTTATGCAGCAAACCCTACTTTTGACTGCCATAGATAAATGCTAGGGGAGCCAGGGAGTTGTAGTTTGCAATCTTCCTAGAGTAGGCTAAAAACCCTGTGAAACTACAACTCCCAGGATAGATCAGTGCTAGCGGATCCTGGGAGTTGTAGCTTGCACTCTTCCTAAAAGAGGCTAAAGACCTTGTGAAACTACAACTCCCAGGATGGATCAATGCTAGGGGGTCCTGGGAGTTGTAGTTTGCACTCTTCCTAGAGGAGGCTAAAGACCCTGTGAAACTACAACTCCCAGGATGGATTAATGCTAAGGGAGTGTGGGAGTTGTAGTTTCACTCTTCCTAGAGAAGGCTAAAGATCTTGTGAAAGTACAACTCTGATAATAGATCAATGCTAGGGGAGTGTGGGAGTTGTGGTTTGCACACTTCCTAAAGGAGGCTAAAGACCTTGTGAAACTACAACTCCCAGGATAGATCAATGCTAGGGGGTCCTGGGAGTTGAAGCTTGCACTCTTCCTAGAGGTGGCTAAATACCTTGTGAAACTACAACTCCCAAGGATGGCTCAATGCTAGGGGACAAATCCCACCTTTAACTGCCTTGGATCAATGCTAGGGGAGCCGGGGAGTTGTAGTTTGCAATCTTCCTAGCGGAGGCTAAAGACCTTGTAAAACTACAACTCCCAGGATGGATCAGGGCTAGGGGATTCTGGGAGTTGTAGTTTGCACTCTTCCTAGAGAAGCTAAAGACCTTGTGAAACTACAACTCCCAGGATGCATCAATGCTAGGGGATCCTGGGAGTTGTAGTTTGCACTCTTCCTAGAGGAGGCTAAAGACCTTGTGAAACTACAACTGCCAGGATTCCATAGCCTACGGCATGGCAGTTACTAGTAGTGTCAAATGGCGTTAATTCTACAATGCAGATGCACCCATAGAAAGCTACCCAAGCCTTCTACAGATCTACCCCATGAAAGTAACTTTTGTTGCTTCTTTTTACAAGCAAGGAGTTCTGAGGAGGGGAGGCTTCTAAAAGTGCATCTACACTAGGCATGGGCAAACTTTAGCCCTCCAGGTGTTTTGGACTCCAACTCCCATAATTCCTAACAGTTTAAGTGGCTGAGAGGAGAAAAGAAAGGGCCCGAGGCTGTTAGGAATTGTGGAGGTTGGAGTCCAAAACACATGGAGGGCCAGAGTTTGCCCATGCCTGATATACACTGAGGAATGAAATGCAGTTCAACCCCACTTTAACTGCTATGACTCAATGCTATGGAGTCCTGGAAGTTGAAATTTCACAAGGTGTTTCACCTCTACCAAAGATTGCTGGTGCCTCGTCAAACTACAACTCTCAGGATTCCATAACATTGAGCCATGACAGTTAAAGTGACCTCAAAGTATTGCTCATTTTACAGTATAGATCAAGCATGGGCAAACTTCAGCCCTCCTGGTGTTTTGGGCTTCAACTCCCACAATTCCTACCCCACATTAATGGCTATTTTTTTTCGTGTCAGGAGTGACTTGAGAAACTGCAAATCACTTAAGGTATGAGAGAACTGGCCATCTTCATGGATGTTGCCCAGGGAGGCCCAGTTGTTTTGATGTTTTACCATCCTTGTGGGAAGCTTCTCTCATGTCACTGCAAGAGAAGCTGGAGCTGACAGAGGGGGCTCATCTGCGCTCTCCCTGGATTAGAACCTCCAACCTGTCGGTCTTCAGTCCTGCCAGCACAAGGGTTTCACCCATTGCGCCACCAGGGGCTCTTTAACTACTATGACTCAATGCTATGGAATCCTGGGAGTTGTAGTTTCACAAGGTTATTCACCTCTGGCAAAGATTGCCAGTGCCTCACCAAACTACAGCTCAGGTTTCCATAACATTGAGCCACAACAGTTAAAGTGACCTCAAACTATTCTACAGTATAGATCAGGCATGGGCAAGCTTTGGCCATCTAGGTGTTTTGGACTTCAACTTCCACAACTCCTAACAGCTGGGAATTGTGGGAGTTGAAGTCCAAAATACCTGGAGGGCCATAGTTTGCCCATGCCTAGTGTAGATGCACCCAATCGTTTAGAAGACACCAGCACTCTTGGGGGGGGGGGGGGGGAACTACAACACCCGGGTTTCCAGATCTCAAAATAATCTAGATTTTCCACCATATTCCAATTGGTTAGATCCCTTATGATCAGATCAAAATGTTACAACAGGACAACTGCAATGCTTTCTTTGCTTTGAAGATGGTAAAATTGAATTTCAAGGGGCCTTTGAATGCAGCATACAGGAATTTTAACATTCTGAATTGGGCC